TCCTACAGACATGGGGCGCAGAAAGTCCAAACGGAAGCCACCCCCCAAAAAGAAGATGACCGGCACCTTAGAGACCCAGTTCACCTGCCCCTTCTGCAACCACGAGAAGTCTTGTGACGTAAAAATGTGAGTGGGGGACAGGGCCTCCTCTCTCCTCCCGAAGTCAGAAGGCAGCTTCCCTGCTCCCACTGTCCTCCTTCCTGCCCCAGGCCATCCTAGTTGGGGGGATCACCACCCATAGACACAGGCTTCTTGACTCACCAGTCCCTCCACCTCCTGTTCCAGGGATCGTGCCCGCAACACCGGAGTCATCTCTTGTACCGTGTGCCTAGAGGAATTCCAGACGCCCATCACATGTATCCTTGGGAAACCAGGCTTTTTCCGGAAAGTGGGGTGGTGAGGGTGGGGGGCAGTCAGGCCTCCCCTTCCCTGGTGGGCTGCCCTAGGGCACCTGGCCAGGACTCTAGTCTCTACATCTCTGGCCCTGCTGTTTGCCCTGGTGCACGGCTATGACTGCCCAGGAGAATAGGTGCCACCTGCTGACTTCCATAGGGTGCGGGGCAGGGATCTGGCTGACACCAGTGAGAGGTGTATACAGGGAAGGGGTCCATGCCACCAGTTGCCCTTGACCTCAGCGGCCCAGATCTGTCAGAACCAGTGGATGTGTACAGTGATTGGATAGATGCCTGCGAGGCAGCCAATCAGTAGCAACGCAGAGGACCCACTCCCTTGGTGGTGCTGCCTGCCATGGACCTGCCCCACCGGCTACCAGTCCAGAGACATTCCAGGGTCCAGGGTATGGGTCCAGGGCCTTCACAGCCCTCCGTGTGGATGGTGTGGGTGTGGGTGTGAGTGTGTATGGCTGTAGTGTGGCCATGGCAGTGTGCTTGTGGGCACTGACTGGAGGTGAGGTGGGCCCCCCAAGGGCTTGAAGTGCTTCACTTGGCTCTGAAAGCCTTTAACTTGCTTGCTGCTCCTCGGAGCCTGTGTCCTGACATTCTGGACAAGGCCAAGGCCAGCAGAGGCTGCCTCGGGACTCTCCAGCCTCCTCACCCACCTCACCAGCACCTTGCCCATTTGAACTGGACTGCCCTCCCTCCTCCCCTGCCTTCCAAGGCTTGTGGCCTGAGATTCAGAGCCACAGTCCCATAGTCCCCTTGGGCCCTAGCAGAATAGCCCCTTTCCCATTTAGTTGCTTTTGTAGAGGAGGAAGGGGTGGGGCCAGGGATAGTTGTCAGTCACCAGCCCTTAAATAAAGCAGCGGTTGCAAACTCCTGCCTCTCTGTGATTTCCTGGGTTCTGGGTCAGGCCCAGGGGCTCAGGGAGGGAGAGGAGGAGACTGAGGCATTCGGAGGTGGCCTAGCAGGCCATCAGAAATCGGGTTTGGTTAGCCCAAACTGCCATTTTGTCCACCCAACAGGCATTTGGGGCAAAACCAGGCTAGTGATGGGCCCAGGGAACATGGGCCATGAACCCGCAGACATCTGGCCAGGCAGACATCTTCAGGCACAACAAAATGGGGCCAGTGGAGCCTGGGGTGGGATGGGGGGTTGGCCAGGGTAATTAGAGAAGGCTTCCGGGGGCTGGGGCGGGGGGAGGGGTGGCAAAAGGAGCAACACTCAAGGCCCACCCTGTACCAGAAGCTGCTGTCAGGCTTGCCCACCTTACCCCACTGTGAGGCAGATGCCCCAGGCTCACAGGTGAGGAATTAGGCCAAGATGGGAAGTCACTGGCCTAAGGTCCCACAGCCAGAAGGCTGCAGAACTGGGCCTTGAACCCGGGAGGCCTGGCTTCATAAGCCCGAGTCTGTCTTCTGAGTCCAGGGTCCAGGCTGAGGGAACAGCTCATGGCCTCCTTGGGGGTAGAAGAGTAAGGGTCTCTGAAAGGGATTTTTTTTCTCTAAGGGTGGCAAGAGGTCACTGAAGGCTGGAGGTGGGGCCAGATGCACGTGTGTGATACAATAAATATTGGCCTTTGTCCTTAGTTCCTGGCACAGAGTTCCTCAAATCCTTGCAACTTTCTTTTTTTTTTTTTTTTTTTTTTTTTAATTTTTATTTATTTATGAGAGAGAGAGAGAGAGAGGCAGAGACACAGGCAGAGGGAGAAGCAGGCTCCACGCACCGGGAGCCCGACGTGGGATTCGATCCCGGGTCTCCAGGATCGCACCCTGGGCCAAGGGCAGGCGCCAAACCGCTGCGCCACCCAGGGATCCCTCCTTGCAACTTTCTAAATGATAGGAATGTCTTTTGTCACTCAAAGATGCCCCTTTTGGGATCCCTGAGTGGCGCAGCGGTTTGGCGCCTGCCTTTGGCTCAGGGCGCGATCCTGGAGACCCGGGATCGAATCCCATATCGGGCTCCCGGTGCATGGAGCCTGCTTCTCCCTCTGCCTGTGTCTCTGCCTCTCTCTCTCTCTCTCTCTCTCTGTGTGACTATCATAAATAAATAAATTAAAAAAAAAAAAAAAAAGAAAATCCTTTAAAAAAAAAAAAAAAAGATGCCCCTTTTGATCACACCTGAGTTGATGCTGGTCACCAGAAAGAGTGATCACTGCATGGGACCCTCTGTAACACCCACAACCTCTAAGGAAGGGAAGCAGGAGCTACAGGTTAAGCTGTATAAAAACTTCAGCAAGGGGTACCTCGGTGGCTCAGTCACTTAGGTGTCTGCCTTTGGCTCAGGTAATGATCCTGGGGTCCTGGCATCGAGTCCCAAATTGGCTCCCAGCTCAGCAGGGAGTCTGCTGCTGCCTCTCTCTCTGCCCTGCTAATGCACTTGGCTCACTCTTTGAAATCTTAAAAAAAAAAAAAAAAATCTTCCAACAAGATTTGATGAGCTCGGGGTTGGGGGCTGTGGTGCTGCTGGGAGAGTGGGCACATGGAGAGGGTGTGGGATCTCCACACCCTTCCCCACACTGTCGCCCATACACCTCTTCCATCTGGCTGTTCCTGATTTATATTCTTTTCTAATAAATGATAACCTAATAAAATACAATGTTTGAGTTCTGTGAGCCACTCTAGTAAATTAATCAAATCTGAAGAGGTGGACATGGGAATCCCAGATCTCTTACTGTTCAATCAGAAACACAGGTGACAACCTGGACTTAGCAATGGACCTGAAAGTGGAGGGACAGTCTCCTGAGCCTTTATCTTATGGGGTCTGATGCGGTCTCTAGGTCGTGTCAGAATTGAGTGAATTGCTTGATGGTTTTGGAAAAAAATGCATTTTTGAACCTGGCTGTTGGTGAACACCTGTGCATTGCATGGTGCCCTCAGACGGCCTTACAGTTATGGAGGTCCCAATGCTCTGGCAGCCGGGCTGATCAGCACCTGCATCTGGCCTCGAGCCAGGGAGCAGGTGACCTGTGCTTTGCATTCCTTGTTAGTATCGCAGGAAGGATAATGGAACCTTCTGGGGCCATACTGAGGCTAGAGGGGCCTAGCACAATGCCTGGGTTTGAGTGACGCTGAGACCCACTCAGGGCAGTAAGGGGTGTGAACAGCCGAGGGAGGTGTCGAGCTGTCTGAAAGCCTTGGCCACTAGGCCCTGGGTCTGGCATGTGCCCCTTGCCCTGACATGCCCTTTCCTGCTGTCCCCACATCCGCCTCCAAAGTCCTGGCTAAGGTCCTCTGGCCCAGGCAGGAACCAGCGGGCATAGGCAGAGCCTGGGTGGAGGGTGTCCTCCGGGGTCCAGCAGAAAGGGGGCTCATGCCTTCGGCTTCCAGGGCCCGCCTACCCCAGTCACACAAGCCAAGTGCTAATATGGTGCTGTTTTCCCGAGGAGGCAGGGCCCTGGGCCAGGCATGGATCCTCCTCAGCATAGCTTCCCCATGCCGGCCCTGGGGGACCAGGACTTGCACTAGCCAGGCCAAGAGCGCCTGGAATCCCTTTTACGAGGCCCCAGGGGCTGTGTGCGTCTGTGCATGCGGGTCTTCTGGTGTCTGTCTCTGCAAGTCCCTGTGTTCCAGCTTCATCCCCTGTTATGAGGAAAGCAGGGGGGACCCCTGTTCTGTAACCACCAGCACCACCACCCTATCCCACCCCCCTACTCCGGCATGGCTGCATCCTGTCCTCAGGACAGCTAGGGCCCACATCCCGGGGAGGACAGGATCCCCTCTGAAATGTGGGGAAGTTGGGGCTGTACACATTCCTGGGGCCCTGGGCTGGCAGGCCAAGCTTGGGAATCAGCCCTAGGCAGAGGGCAGAGAGTGACCCGGGCACACAGGGCCACCGCGCCAGGCAGTCTGCTACTCACCTGCTCTGTGCCAGTCTTTAAAGGGCCATTGCTCTGGGCCCCCAATGTGCTCATCCTCCACTGCCTTGTGTCCCCCCACACAAACACACCTGCCCACAATCCACTTCTGGGTGAAACGGTTCCACCTGCCTACAATGGCCTCCAGGACTCGGCTTGTCCATTCTCATTGATCAGTGCCAAATGTCATCCTGTCTGGAGGCATGGTTTCATTTTTAGCCCCCCACCCATGTCCCCTGGAGGCTCTCTGTCCTCATTTTCCTGAGGGGGAAAACAGGCATAGTGAGGGCGAGTTGCCCCAGGTGACCCAGCTAGTGGGAAGCAGGACTGTGATCCCATCTAGCCTGTCCCAGTGCTTGGGCTCTTTTTCACAACCCACAGGCTTCCCAGAAAGGCACATGAGGGCTGAGCATGTGTGTGTCGATATTGCATATGTGTACAAAGGTGTGTGTTGATGTGTCCCGAGTGGGAGTGCGTACTGTATGTGTATATCTGAAGGGGAAATATGTATGTGTGCCTAAGGCTGCAGAGTATGCACACACCATATTCACAGATGCGTGAGTGCAGATTTTGTTTGTGAGTTCCGGTCCTGGGTCCAGCCAAGTGGCTGTGAGCTCCATACGTGTATCTCATAAGTTTTTGTGTGTGCCTGTGACAATGTGCATGTGGGAGATGGAGTGTATCTAAGCAAGGCTGTTTGCATGTGTACAAGAGCCACCCAGGCTCCAGGACAGAGCAGCCCTGAGACAATGATTTTACAGCCATTTATTGTGCTCCAGTGAAATAGAAAAAGAAAGTGCTCGCGTTAACAAACGCCGCTGTCACATCCACATATGCCAGTCGCTGCAAACCAAACCGCGTGTGTCCGCTGGGTCTCTGGGCATGCAGTTTGCTCGCACTGTGGGAATGGGGTGGGGGCAGGCCGAGCCTGGGCTCTGGGGGTTCTGCTTGGGGGGGACCTCTTGTCCTGGGGTACCCACCTGTGAGGGAGTGGAGGGACAGCTGGGGTAGCTTTGCTCAGTGCGTCCTTTGGGTGCTGTTGGGAACACCCGGCTCGATGGTGGATCCTGCAGCGCTCCAGGGAGGAGGGCCCCCTGCCCCCCACATGCCCCCCCCAGTCTGTCCCCCCGAATGCTAACCCTGTAGGCAGGTGCCAGGGGGCTGGAGGACGCCATGCAGGGGGAGGGGGTCAGCAGGGCCAGCTCGACCCTGCCAAGAGCAGCAGCCAGCCTCCCTGGGGGGAAGGCGGGGGGGGGGTGCCCAGGGCCCTAGGCAGAGTTATAGTAGTTGTGTGGGTGGTGGTTGTGGGCAGGCTCGCCCAGCTCTGGGTACTCAGGCGTCAGGCAGTACTTGGGGTCATAAACCTGGCGCGGCAGCCCATACACTGTCATGCCCCGCTGTGAGGCCCCCTTGTTGCTGCCCATCTGCAGGCTGACGTTGAGTGTGTCACAATGCTCCATGCCCAGCCCTGGCTCGAAGATCTGTCTCTTGGTCCCGGGTGCAGTCATGCCGGCCTGTAGAGGGTGGATCAGTCAGGCTGTGGGGACAGTGGAGGGCAGGGGCACCCCCAACAGCCCCCCAAGGCCCCCACACACACCTGGCTGGCTCCCTTGTTGGTACCCATCTGCAGGCTGATGGTGGCCTGGTCCAGGGGCTGGTCCGTGCCCAGCTTGGGGTCATAGAGGTGGCGCCGGGTGCCATAGGCCGTCATGCCCTGCTGGCTGGCAAATTTGTTGGTGCCCATCTAGGAAGCCAGAAGGAGAATCATCCCAAGGCTTGCAGAGCCTCACTACGGGCCATGAGACATAACATGTCAGCAGAAACTTGCTCGGCCCTCCAGCGAGGCGCTGCTTCCCCTCTCAGGCTCCAGAAGCTGAGGCCCAGAGAAGGGATGTCACAGGACCTGTAAGTGGCTCAGAGCACCAGGGCCTGACTTCCAGGGTTCGAGCCCCAGTCCCGCCACTTATTACCCAGACAGTCCTGGCAACTGACCTAGCTTCTCTGGGTACCTGTTTCCTCATCGGTGTAAAGGGTGTAAGGATAACAGCACCCACTCCTTAGAGCTGTCGGAGGAGTAAGTTAGTGTACCGAAAATGGCAGGCACGGTGCCCGGCATACATCTGCGTTAAAGCCAAATATCCTGTGCCCCAAAGCCTGCAGGGACCTGGGTGCCCTCCTGGCTTCCTTGACCTCCCCGCTCAGCACAGTGGCAGGACCCAGGTGAGGAAGGGGTCAGTACCTGCAGCCCGATGATGTTCCGTCCTTCTCTTAGCTTCTCGGGCTCAAATTTCCGTTCCTGCTTCTCTGCGTACTTCACCCCCACATTCACCTTGTTCCCTTTCGTCTTGGCCTGGGGAGGGCGAAGGGAGCAGGGACTCGACTAGAGAAACTCCAGGCCACACTGTCCCCTCCTGGCACCTGCTCTCCCCCTGCCACCTCCACCGGACTTGGGGGCACAAGTGGCCCCACTCGCAGCTCAGACTGTCCGCAGCCCCCCACCCCTGTGTCAGACCCCCCTCCAAGCCACACTTACCATGCTGGCCAGGGCCAATAGGGTGGACTGCACCTGGGTGTGGTTGGTGTTCTCAAACAGGTCGTTGGCCTCAAAAATGTCATGGGGCTTCACCCCATACTTGGTGATGGCCTTGATGAAATTGCCGATGTTTTCCAGCTGGAGGGGGCAGGCAGCAGTCAGCGGGGGGGGGGGGGGGTAGCAGAGGGGGCTCAGCGGGGGGTAGGAAGAGTTAAAAAGGATGTCTGGGCTCACCTGGTGCCAATTTTGGGTCGACTCGTTGACCTTCTTCACGGAGCCTGGCTGGAGCTTATTGATGAACCTATAAGGCGTCGGGGAGGGCAATGGGAAAGGTGAGCTCCCCTCAGCACCCACGCCCAACCCCAGGGGAAGAGGAGTCAGGATGACAGTGACTGGTCAATTTTTGCCATTTCCTACCACCTCCAGCTCAGCCAAGGCCCCACTGATCCACCCTGGTGGGGATCCCCTGCACACCCACGGAAGACTGAGACGGGAAAGTAAGCCCAGGAGCTGGGCTCCGGTCTCTAGAGGAAAGTCCCCTCATCTCTGCTATGTGGGAGTCTCTCCCTGGCAACTGCATCTCAGTCTCCTTGTCCCTTGGGGGCAACTGCACTGTGCAGAGCCCGCAGCTCAGGGTCCCAACTTCCCTCCCTGGCCTCACTCACCCCCTCGAGCTCCTCCAGTCTCTTGACTTTAAAATGCCACCCATATGCCAACAACTCCCCAGTATTTCCCCGAAGCCAGGCCTCTCACTCTCCATCCAATCCAGCTCCCTACCTGGCATCTCAAATCAAAGGCACCCCACCCCAGACTCCTGACATCCACTTTCGCCACCTCAATTCTTTCCATCCTCCCAGGCTCAGTAAACATATCCTTCCAGGTGCTCACCCTCAGACTTGCTCTTGACTCTCCTATTCGGTTCTCCCATTCCTCGACACCCAACCCCACAGCGGGTTCTTTGGCTCTGCCTTCTGAGGACATCCAGAAGCCCCTGGCTCCTTGCCACCTCCATGCTGCTCTGAGTTGTCTGAGCCTCAATCCTGGGCTCTTGCAGGGGCTCCCTGTGGCTCCCAGGCTCCACCTCGACCCCTGCAGATCCTCATAGCTACAATGGCCTTTTCAATGGCCTTTTCCAAATAACTCCAGCTACTCCACAGATCAAAAGTGCCCCCCCTCCCGTTTCCCTTCAGAATAAAGATCCTAAAACCTTTAGCATGACTGAAGGGCCCTACAACATCTGGCCCCCAGCTAACTCCCTCCACTTCCCCTAATCTCTCCTCTCTGTTCCTTTTTTTCATTTTTTTTAAATTTTTATTTATTTATGAGAGTCACAGAGAGAGAGAGAGGCGCAGAGACATAGGCAGAGGGAGAAGCAGGCTCCATGCACGGGAGCCCGACGTGGGATTCGATCCTGGGTCTCCGGGATCGCGCCCTGGGCCAAAGGCAGGCGCCAAACCGCTGCGCCACCCAGGGATCCCTCTCCTCACTGTTCCTTGAACACACTATGCTTGCTGCCATCTCAGGGCCTTTGCAGTGCTGCTCTCCCTATACCCTACCCCCTGCCTGGCTCACTCCTTCCTCAGATGCCCTCCCAGCTCCCTCACTCACTTCATTCAAGATTCTGCTCAAATGTTATCTCTTCTGAAAGACCTCCTAGACCATTCTCTACAAAGCAGCAAACCTTTTCCCCACCCAGCCCTCCATCCTTTCCCCCTTGACTCTTCCCATGGCACTTCCCTCCACAGGCAAGTATGGGATTATTTCATGGATTGATCAATCTCCCCCATGAGGACCCAAACTCTGTGTGAGCTCAGAGTTAAATCTGTTCTGTTCACTATCCCCAGTGCCTAGACCTGCACACAGCAGGTGCTCCGTAAATTCTCGGTGGATGAATGAATAACTGAGTGGGTGGGTAATCCTGTCTGAGCTAGAAACATCACAGTGTCTCCCTATTCCTTATTCCCAGTGGGTATGCTAGAATAAGATCCCCCCACTTTGCCCTTTCCAGCACCTAGATCTTAGTAAGGCTGCACCTTCGGGAAGCTTCCCGAAAGGCACTCTCTGGCCATCACAGTCACCCTGTCCTGGGTCAGACTCAGAGATGCAGACAGGACCCTACTGGGCTCAGGGTCCTGGATCCAGTATTAGTGTCGCTGTGGACTCTGGAACCAGGGCTCAGAGCTGTGTGGATTTTCATTCCTCCTGGTGATTTAAGTTCTGAGAAGAGTAGAAAACCAGGGCCTACTTAAGTTACTGTGGCATAACCCTCATGTCACCAAGCCAGCAATGAACAGCCAATTTTGCCTTGTTGCCTTTTAGCTGTGACCTCTCTTTCTCGGAACTCTGGAGGCCATAAATGGGCCTGCCCTGTCTGCATGGTGATCAAGCCTAGATTCTGGTCATTTCTGTCAGAACAGCATAGGCCTCTGGGCGATATGTTTTACTTAACTGGGCCTCAGTTTTCTTTCCTGTTAAATGGGCACAATGTTGCTGTGCCAATGCTATTTCAAGGGTTCAGATATCAAGTGCCTAACCCAGCTCCAAGCTCATAGTTATTTGAAGGGTTGAGGGGGTAAAGATGAATGCCCAGGTTGGGGGCACCCCAAGGCAAAGTCTGCCCCACTCACTCGCAAAGAATGATGCCATCTTTGAGACCATCCATGAAGTTGTTCCCAATGCGGCGCCCAGTAACTCCCTCGATCCACTCTCGAAGCTCCTGCTCTCGCTGGTGGTCATACTTCTGGGCCAGCTGGGGATGGGGGACACAGAGAAGGTGGTAAGGATGGAGTGGGGAGCAGAGTTGGCTTCAGGGACCCAATCTGAGGTTCCCTAGGCCTGATCTTCTCATCCCTTCCCAACTAAGGCAATTCTGCTCCACCGTCCATGGGGGGGCTGAGTGGGCAATGGGCCAGGACTGAGGTGGCACCTGCCCAGGGGGCCATTCCGGACATTCTGAGGTTTGGCACCAGAGAATGAAGACAAGGGGGGTGGAGAGCGGGGTACTCAGAGCTGGGGGGGGGCGGTGCCTGGTCTCTTGGTTCCCCCTCCAGGCCAAACTTGGGGCTTAGCTTCCCCTGGTCCTGCCCCCCACCCCCCTGCTGGAAGCCTGGGCGCCTCAGGCAGGGGAGGAGGAGCCCTAAGGAGGTGGCTCTCAGTACTGCCTTGCAGGGGACTGTTCTGTCTTGCAGGTCTGTCTGCCTCAGTGTCTCTCCAGGTCCTGATCCTCTGGGCTGCGGCTCTGGCTGGAGGCTCCGGGGAGGAGGGGGAAGGGACAGCACAGAGGACAGGACACACTTGTCTTTGTCTTACTCCTGGCCCCATGCATGCTCGGTGGTATTTCTCTCTCTCTCTCTCTCTATCTCTCTCTCTCCCCCCATCCCCACACCCTCTGTCTCTGTCTCCCCAGCTCCAGCTGTCCTTCCTCGGCCTTGCCTTCCTGTCCCCATCTCCCCGTGTCTGGCTGGGGGGTGGGGCTCGGGGCTCCTCTGTCTCCTCTCTCTTGGCCTCTCCATCCCCTGTCTCGGTCTTATCTGGCTCCTGGCTCACCCTCCCCATCCGTCCCTCTCAAGTCTCAGGCTCCTAGAAGCTCGGCGTCTCTCGCTCTCTTCCCCCTTCTCCATCCTGCCCCCCCCACCTCCCTTTCTCCAGAACCCTCCGCCCCAGCCCAGACAGGTTCCAAGACTGCGGGTGGAGGGAGACGGAGCTGCCCCTTCCCCTGAGGGAGGAGGAGGTAGGAGGGGGCGGCCCCTCACCTGGCCCCGGCCCTGCCGCCCCCCTCCCCACCAGCCCGGCTTTATAAAGCAAACCGGCCCTTATATAGCGCGGCCCCGCGGGCCGGGCTCCCCGAGGCCGCCTTATATGGCTCGGCGGCTTCGCGCGGCTCTGGGGCCGGCGCCGGGGGGAGGGGGGAGGCGCCGGGATCCCGCCCGGGCCCGAGCACCCGCCCCCCCAGCCCCTTCCTCCAGCCGCGAGGATCCCCCGACCCAGGATCCAATGCCAGCTCCCCCGCTTCCTCGCTGTACGCTGGGGAAAGCCACCCCCGGCCCTCGATGTTCCCCTCTGTCAAATGGGGCTGGGACTCCTGTCCTGGCAGCGCTCACGGAGCATTCCAGTGAGTTGGAAGTTCACTGCCCCCAAGAAGCTGAATCCCACTCCGGGATGTGTGTGCCTTGGTGGCCGGTGGCAGCGGAGGGTGATGCCAGGATCCTAGCTCTGCAACTCCCTTACGTCGAACCATAGCTACTCGCCTCTCCTCTCTGAACCTCAGTTTAGCCATCCATAGCACAAGGGCAGTACCCCGATGTTTTCCCAGCTCAAAATTAGGAGACCCCTGCCAGGTCCCTAATGCTCACTCTCTGACCTCCCCGGCTGTCTCCCTCTCCCTTCAGGATCTCCTTCACCATGTGGGCCTCACTTCCCCAGAACCCCAACTCTCAAGCACTCCCCGGTTTCTTTTTGAGATGGGGGTGTGAGGAAAATCGAGTCCTTTCCCAGCCCCCCAGGAACACAAAAGGAACAGGGGACCGGTTAACAGGAGACTCTGATCAAGTGCGGGTCTTTACAGGGGACAGATCACCTCAGTTTACCCGTGGTTGCCGGTGTGCCCACCATTTTACCTGTCCCCCAACAGTAGCTGAGGGCTCTGGGATGCTCAGGATGGGGAATAAGGCAGTCCCGACCCTAGATTTGTCCTTTTTCCCTCTCTGATTCCAAGTCACACGGAATAGGCAAGAAGGAGTCCAGGGAACCCCAAGAGCAGGGCCTCTGGCCTGCCAGGGTGTGTGGGCCAGGCAGAGGCCCTATATTGTTCTTGACCTCAGCTGACAGCCCATAGATGGGAGCCTTACCTTGTTCTTGACCTCAGCGGACAACCCATAGGCGGGGCCCCGGTTGAAGTGAGCAGAGGACATGCTGGCTGGTGGTGGGCACGGGTGGCAGTAGTGCTGAGGACAAGGCAGCAGCTAGGCTCCGTCTGCAACCTCTTCCCTCCTCACACGTTTTTGAAGCTCCGGAGGCGGCCCGGGCCTCTTCCAAGGCCGTCCCATTGGCCACAGGGGCCTGCCAAGGGGCGGGGCACCCCCCACCTCGGCCACCCTCCTCCCGCCCCCCCCGCCCCCCCCCCCCCCCCCCGTGATGTCAGGGCCTTGGTATTGGGAGCTGATTGTGTCATTGTTTCCACCTAGGGGGGCGGCCTGGGTTATTATTTGGGGGCGGGGGGGGGGCGCTTGGTCAAAAGAGATGAAGCTTTTCCCAAACTTCCTGATCCTCCACTGTTCATTGCCCTCTGGCTGGGCCTCCTGGTTTCCTCTGTGTCCATCACTGAGCCCATCTCTCCTCTCATTGAGGTCATCTCTCTTCCTCTTTCCGCAGTCCATGGTAGCTTAGTGAGCACCATCCTGGGTTTAACTCCAGACACCAACAGTCTATAGTGGGCCTCTGTTGCCACATCTGTAAAATGGACTAATGGATACTGCATGTCCAGCATGTAGTGCCTGGCCCAGGGAAGGCCTCAGGATAACAGCAATATTTCCAATGAGCATCTGGCACCCCACCTCTGTCCTTTCCAGCCCCTCAGAAGGATCTGGGGGAATAGAGATCCTGGATATTATCCTCTCCAACTACCTGTGGGGTTGCCATGGAGTCACTGTGTTAGCAGGTTTCAGGCCATGGACACCCCTGTATTTCTCCTGTCCCAGCCAGGGGGAGCTTTAGAGGGGACACCTGCAAACAGCCCCATCTGGCCAGATCTCACCCCTGGACCACACAGAGGTGGATGACATGACCACACCATGACACTATGTCAAGGCGATGTTAGGGACACTTGGATGACATGTCAGCAAACTGCCATATACTGAGGATACGTTAAGGACATGCAATTAATTTGGTGTCCACATGCTAGGGGCTCAGCTGTGATACGCTAATGGCAGCAGCCTCTTATGTCAGGTCCTGTTACAAGTACTATACCTGTAACAACTCATGCTTCACAACACCCTCAGAAATGGATGCTGTTATCACGTGCACTTTACAGATGGGGAAACTGAGGCACGGGGTGTGGAATCCCTTTCCGAGTGTCACACAGAGTCAGTGAGAGAAAATTTGAAGCCAGACCCCTGTCCCTAATGCTACCAGGCTGTCAGGGTTCCTCACCCTCAGCGCTGTCCACGTCAAGGCTGGATCATTCTTCCTGGGTGGAGGAGTCTCTCCTTGGCCTCCTAGGACTTTAAGCAGCATCTCCAGCCTCTACCTATTAGATGCCTAGAGCAACCCCTTAGTCTTGCCAAGCAGAAATGTCTCCAGACATTGCCAAATGCCCCTCCGGGGTGTGTGTGAAGCAGATCTTTCCTGTTCGAGAACCACTGGGCTAAACCAATATGCTAAGGACAAGGTGACTAAAATAGATCGAATGAGCTAACAATTAGCTCCTGCTATATTCTAAGTGCATCGGGTCGTCAACTCATTCCTCCCAACAGCCTTCTGGGTTGGGGTCTATATGAGGCACAGAGAGGTGAAGTCCACCGCCTGGCGTTACACAGCACGACAGTGACGCAGCCAGGACTCGAACGCGCAGATTCCGCGATCCCGTCCACGCTGAGCGGCCCCCCGCGGGGCCACAAGCCGCTACTGCGCAAGGGAGAACCCGCGCCTCGGCGGAGCAGGTGGCTGGCGCCCCCTGGCGGCCGAGGAGGGGCGGGGCCGGCGGCGGGGCCTGGCCGGGGCGGCCTGCGGTGACGCGAGGCCCTGACTCACTCGGCTCCGCCCCCGGCCCGCGGCCGCTTGGCCATTTATAGAATCCGCGCGGACTCTGAAGTCACGGCCCAGGCACGACGGGGGCGGGGTGGGGGAGCTCTTGGCGCGTCCCCCGACGGGGCAGCCCGGGGTCTCCCTAGGGGGTGGCCCTTTCTGGGTCTGTCCTGTCCCTCCCGTTCTAGGTCTGTGTCTCTCTCTCTTGCTCTGTCCCTAAGTTGCCATATGCCGGTCTCAACCTTGCCTGCTCTTTTTCTGTCTTTGTCTATGAATCTGCCTGTCCCTCTCTCTCTTTTTCTCTCTCTCTCTCTCTCTGTCCCCTCTTTCCATGATCTCTCCATCTGTGGGTCTCTATTTCACCTCTTAAGTCACTGCTTTTCTCACTCGATGTCTGTCTATCGTTTCTCTCTTTGTCTGGTTAATAGGGGTAGAAGCAGAGAGTCGGGGCTGATCCCATCCGCAGGCCCGGCCCCTGGGGACTCCCCCCATTACTGGCTGCCCCCTGCGCAGTTCCCTACTTAGCTCCTGTCTAGTATTTCCTCGCCCCAGCCCTTCTGTGCCTCCCTTTCCCATCTAAATGTAAGGTGGGGGGCTCTTGGAGGGCTCAGGTGGTTAAGCGTCTGCCTTCAGTTCAGGTCATGATCTCAGGGGTCCTGGAATTGAGCTCAGTAGTGGGCTCCCAGCTCAGTGGGGAGTCTGCTTCTCCCTCTGCCTCTCCCCCTGCTCATGCTCTTTCTCTCTCTGTATCTCTGTCTCAGATGAATAAATAAAATCTTTAAAAATAAATAAATATATGAAAGGTGGGATCTTGTAAGAAATGGAGTTGCCCCGAACGGTCCAGGATGGTCATGAAAGAAAACCTCTGCCTCACCTTAGTATTTGGAGACCCCCTAAAACCTTAGTGCCTTTCAGAGCCATCTAACACACGCACATACACCTCTGTATTTGGTGTCTCCAGGAGACAGTGGCAGCCCCCTTCCCCCTGCCTGTCTGGGCAGCGCCACTCAGCCAGCCCCCTCTCACCCAGCTTTCCTCTCCTGAAAACAGACAGAAGCTGTTGTTCATAATGGCTTCTGTTTCTGGAGGGCTCACTCCATGCCAGGCACTGTGCCAAGCACAACCATTTAATCCTCACTGCTACCCTCTTGGGGTGGAAACTTGCAGGCCCATTTAACAGACAAGGAAACTCAAAGTTCAGAGAGACCAAACCACTCAACACCACTCCTGCTGCTCCCAGATCCTTCAACACGTATTTCTTGAGCACCCAAACACACTCCCACCTCAGGACCTTTGTACTAGCAGTCCCCTCCAGTGGATACATTTCCAAAGAATGCCTCCATGGCCTCTCCCTCACTTCCTCTGGTCAAATCTCACTGCTCTGGAGAGGCCCTCCCTGACCTCCTGCTCTAAAATAATAGCATCTCCCACCCCTAGACTGATTGGGAGAGGATAGGCATGAAGGAATTGTTCACTTAAGTATTTGCACCTGCTAGTAACCATGTCTGCCTCCATAAAAACTTTCACTTCAGGGCAGCCCGGGTGGCTCAGCGGTTTAGCACCGCCTTCAGTCCAGGGTCTGACCCTGGAGACCCTGGATGGAGTCCCGTGTCAGGCTCCCAGCATGGAGCATGCTTCTCCCTCTGCCTCTCTCTCTGTGTCTCTCATGAATAAATAAATAAAATCTTAAAAATAATTTCACTTTAAAAAGTCATTTCTGTGGGGCACGGGGTGTATCTGGGTGGCTCAGTCAATTAAGTATCTGCCTTTGGCTCAGGTCATGGTCCCAGGGTCTTGGGATCGAGCAGGAGTCAGTCTCCCTGCTGAGGGGAGTCTGTTCCCCTCCCCCACACCCTCTACCTCCTCTCAGACTCTCTCTTTTTTAAAATATTTTATTTATTTGTTCACGAGAGACAGGCAGAGGGAGAAGCAGGCTCCCTGCAGGGAGCTGAGTGGGACTCAATCCCGAGTCTCCAGGATCAAGCCTTGGGCTGAAGGCGGCGCTAAACCACTGAGCCACCGGGGCTGCCCTCTCTCTCTCAAATAAATAAATAAAATCTTTTAAAAAGTCAGTCTTTAGAGGGGGTGCGCCTGAGTGGCTCAGTTAAGCATCTGCCTTCACCTCAGGGCATAATTCCAGGGTTCTAGAAATCCTTGTTTCTCCCTCTCCTTCTGCTGCCCCCCCCCCCGTGCTTCTCTCTCTCTCTCTCTCTCTCAAATACATAAAATCCTTTTTATTTTTTTATTTTTTATTTATGATAGGCACACAGTGAGAGAGAGAGGCAGAGACATAGGCAGAGGGAGAAGCAGGCTCCATGCGCCGGGAGCCCGACGTGGGATTCGATCCCAGGTCTCCAGGATTGCGCCCTGGGCCAAAGGCAGGCGCCAAACGGCTGCGCCACCCAGGGATCCCATAAAATCCTTTTCAAAAAAATAAAATAAAATATTTTAAGTCATTAAAATAAACAAACAAACAAACAAACATTTACAGGCAGCCCGGGTGGCTCAGCGGTTTAGCGCCGCCTTCAGCCCAGGGCATAATCTGGGGGATGGGGAATCGAGTCCCACGTCAGGCTCCCTGCGTGGAGCATGCTTCTCCCTCTGCCTGTATCTCTGCCTCTTTCTCTCTCTCTCCCTGTGTCTCTCATGAATAAATAAATAAAATCTAAAAAAAAAAATTTACAGCTAAAACTAGTAAAACATGGTATATTAAGTGTACTTTAACAAAAAAAAAAATCAATAAAAAGCCCCCTCCACTATCTCCTTCCCCTGCTTTCTTTTTCTTATCATCTCCTATTTGCTTAAATCTATCTCATCCTCGGAGAATAAAAGCTCCACAGAGGTAGATCTTTGCTTGTTTTGTTCACTGCTCTGTTGCCAGTGTCCAGTATACCACCTGCACACAACAGGTGCTCAAAAAAGGCTCACTGGATAAATGGAATTAAAGTTGGTGAGCCAGGACCCAAACTGCATTTGTTTGAAATGTTGGTCTTTAAGCACACACAAAGGAAGGGCATAATTTCCAGGCACTTCCTGGACTAAGGACAGTTGAACTGAGTGTCTTCTTTGGGTTTTCATTCCAACCTTCCCCAGAAGACCAGTTGGAGGGTGGGTAGGGGGTTGAGCCACAGGCTGCGGCTGGGGACATGTAGGTCATTCTAAACCTGCCCACTCCCTTGTCCAGCCAGGAGCTTTGCAAAATATCTTGTAGGAAAACATCTGGTTGAACAAGGGAGCCTTTAAAAAAAAAAAGTAGACTGGTGACAATCAGATTGGCAACATTCAGAACACCTGACAACATGTGGTGCTGGGGAAGCTCGAGAGCATTGTTGATGGGTATGGGCAATTTGTTGATAGCTTTTTTTTTAAGTTATTTATTTATTTATTCATTCATTCATTCATTCATTCATTCATTCATTTATTTATTTATTTATTTATTTATTTATTTATTTATTTATTTATGAGACACACAGAGAGAGAGGCAGAGACACAGGCAGAGGGAGTAGCAGGCTCCTCGCAGGGAGCCTGATGTGGGATTCATCCCGGGCCGGGATCATGCCCTGAGCCGAAGGCAGACGCTCAATCGCTAAGCCACGCAGGGTTCCTCTTTTTTTTAAGTTGTATGTATTTGAGATATAGCAAGAAAGAGAGCACTAGCAGGAAGAGGGGGGCAGAGAGAGAGGGAGAAGCAGGCTTCCCACTGAGCAGGGAGCTTGATGTGGGGCTCGATCCCAGGACCCCCAGGACCATAACCTGAGCCAAACAGAGATGCTTAACTGACTGAGCCACCCAGGCACCTCCGTTTGTAGCTTTCAAAATGATGGTTAATTTTAATATATTTATTGGTTATTTTAATATATAAAATTGATTGGGCCATAGGATACCCAGATAATCAAACATTATTCTGGGTGTGTCTGTGAGGCTATTTTGGGATGAGATTAATAGTTGCATTTATAAAGAGTAAAACAGATTGCCCTTTCCAGTATGGATGGGCCTCACTCAATCAGTTGGAATTCTGAAGAGAACAAAAAGGTGACCCTTTCCATCCTAAGAAGAAACTCCTCATAGGGTGCCTGGCTGGCTCAGTTGGTAGAGCATGTGACTCTTGATCTTGGGGTTGTGAGTTTGAGTCCTATGATGGGTGTAGAGCTGACTTAAAAATAAAATCTTTTGGGATCCCTGGGTGGCGCGGCGGTTTGGCGCCTGCCTTTGGCTCAGGGCGCGATCCTGGAGACCCGGGATCGAATCCCATATTGGGCTCCCGGTGCATGGAGCCTGCTTCTCCCTCTGCCTGTGTCTCTGCCTCTCTCTCTCTCTCTCTCTCTCTCTCTCTCTCTCTCTCTCTCTGTGAATATCATAAATAAATAAATTTTTAAAAAATAAAATCTTTTAAAGAGAGAGAGAGAAGTAGAAATTCCTCATATGTGATTGCTTTGAGCTGGAACATTGGTCTTTTCCTGCCTTCAGCCTGGAATTGAAACATCAGCTCTTCTTAGGTCTCAAGCCTGCCAGCTCTCACACTGGAATTTTGACCCATTGGCTCTCTGGGTTCTCAAGGCTTCAGACTCAGACTAGAACTACATCGTCTGCTCTCCTGAGTCTCTAGCTTGCCAACTGCACATATTGGAGTTCTCAGCCTCCACAGTCATGTGAGTCATTTCTTTATAATTACACACACACACACACACATACTGTGTCTTTGTTTCTCTCTATTCTGTTGGTTCCGTTTCTCTGGAGAACCCTGCTATCTAATACACATTCTGATCCAGAGAAACCTCTTTTTTAGAATATACCTAATAAGTACAAGTAGGTGTGAAAAGAACACTTATTGCCGTGGCCTTTTTTTTTTTTTTTTTTTGCCGTGGCCTTTTAATAACAAGGTACTCTGTAGATCCATCAACAGAGTGAGACGGACACAGATGTAGGCAATGACAAAAAACCACTGTGGTGCTACAGTTAAGAGTAGGGGAAGGGGGGGTCTGGATCCATATTCCATGGGTTTGGGGCATCCTTTGATGCTTTCTGGCTGTGTGACCTTGGACAGGTATCTTAACCTCTCTGTGATTCAGTTTCCTTCTCTGGAAAATGGGCATATTGATAGTGCCTGCTTCCTCGGTTTATTTTTTTTTTATTTATTTTATGATAGTCACACACACAGAGAGAGAGAGAGAGAGGCAGAGACACAGGCAGAGGGAGAAGCAGGCTCCATGCACCGGGAGCCCGACGTGGGACTCGATCCGGAGTCTCCAGATCGCGCCCTGGGCCAAAGGCAGGCGCCAAACCGCTGCGCCACCCAGGGATCCCTCTCGGTTTATTTTTTAACTTTTTATTTTGAGTTAATTTTAGACTTATAGAAAAGTTGCAAAAATAGCACAGAGAGTTCCCCATACAGCCTACACCTTGCTGCCCCTACTGTTAGCAACTTACATAAGCATAGTACATTTGTTAAAACTAAGAAATGAACCTTGGTACAATACTGTTAATAAACTACAGACTTGATTTGGGTTTCTCCAGGTTTTCTACTTGTCCTTTTTCTATTCCAGGACCCAATCCAAGATCTCTCATTGCATTTAGTTGTCATGTCTCCCTAGACTCTTTCAGTCAAGTGACAGTCCTCTTGGTCGTTCATGACCTGACATTCTTGAAAAGAGCTGGTCAGTAACTGTGTAGACTATCTCTCAGTTTGATTTATGTTGATCAGATTGAGGTTTTCACATTACTGGGAAGGATACCAGAGAGGTGATGTTCCCTTCTCATACCAGGAGCTTATGATGTCACGGTGACTCATGGTGACTTTAACCTCCGTCCGTTGGTTAAGGAGCTGTCTGCCAGGATCCAGCACTGTGAAGCTGCTATTTTTCCTCGGGTTGTTTTGAGGACTCTGCGTTAAAGGGTCTACATCGGACCCCACACATACTGTGGTGCTCTGTATTAATAAAAAAAAAAAAAAGTAAGCGCCTGTGTTTGAATCCACTACTTCTGTAAGGATAAAAAAGAAAATGAGAGCCATAACTGCCTCAAGAGGAGAAGGGGCACTGGGAGCCCTGAAGGTGGTGGCCGGGTCTGTGACAGCGCCACCACCACCCACGCGCGCCCTCGCCCAGGTCCCAGCGGAGCAGAGCGAAGTGCGCCTGCGCAGAGCTGGGCCGCCGCGCTGAGGGCCAGAGCCCTCCCAGCAGCTTCCCACGTGGCTTTCAACGTGCTGGGGTGGGATGCACGAGCCCCTGGACCGGCGGCTGATTGGCTGCAGCTCTTCGCAGCCTGGCCAATCACGGAATCTGGATGAGGCGGAAGTGCTGCGGCTGCGCAGAGTCTTTAAGGCATCCCGCCGGTGGCGGAGAGGAGACTCCCGTCCCCAGGGAAGCAGCCGGCCCGGCCTCACGGAGGCCAAGGGACTGCAGATATGGCTTCTCGGGGGTGGACAGCTGTACTCGCCTGCAGCCTCTGTTAACGGCCAAGCCTCCGTTTTATGAGCAATCCACTTAGGTTAATAGTTTTTTGTTTGTTTTTGTTTTTGTTTTTTTTTAGGTTAATAGTCTTCAACTGGGACTCCCTACCCCGCCCCCCAAGACCAGGAGCCTCTAGTACTTCAATCTGACTTCATCCTATCCTTTGTCTTTAATTTTTAAAAATTACGGTAAAATGTACATAACACAAAATTTACCATTTAAGTGTATATTTCTGTGTTAAGTACATTCACATTGTGCAACCATCACCACCATCCATCACCAGAACTTTTTTCAATCTTCCAAAACTGAAACGGTTGCCATTACATGCTAACTCCCGGTGCTCTCCCTCCTCCAGCTCCTGGCAACCACCATTCCACTTTCTGTCTCTATAATTCGCCTTTTCTAGGGACCCCATATAAATGGAATAATATAGCGTTTGTCTTTTTGTGGCTGGTTTACTTTACTTAGCACCATGTCCCCAAGGTTCATCCATGTTGTACCATGGGTCAGAATTTCCTTAATCTGACAGTGTATGTTCTCATTCATTTGGGGAATATGAATAATAGTGAAAGGGAATATAAGGGAAGGGAGAAGAAATGTGTGGGAAATATCAGAAAGGGAGACAGAGCATAAAGACTTCTAACTCTGGGAAATGAACTAGGGGTGGTGGAGGGGGAGGAGGGCGGGGGGTGGGGGTGAATGGGTGACGGGCACTGAGGGGGACACTGACGGGATGAGCACTGGGTGTTATTCTGTATGTTGGTAAACTGAACACCAATAAAAATTAATTTATTAAAAAAAAGAATTTCCTTAATCTTTAAGGCTGAATAATATTCCATTGTATGTATATATATTTTGTTTATCCACTCATCCACCCATGGACACTTGAGTTGCCTTGGCTATTGTGAATTATGCTATGAATACGGGAGTATGTACAACTATCTGTTCAAGTCCCTGCTCTCAATTCTTTTGGGTATATACCCAGAAATGGAATCGCTGAATCATATGGTAACTCTATTTTTAATTTTTGAGGAAACGCGATACTATTTTTCTTAGTGGCTGAACCAGTTTATATTCCTACCAGCCGTGTACAAGGATTCCACTTTGTTCAAATCCTCACTGACATTTGTTTAGACTTTTAAAATACATTATACATACAGAAAGATGTATAAATTATAACTCAATGAATCAATGATCATGTTTTAAAACTTTTAAATTGAGGCATTACATAAAATAAAATGTACAAATCTTCATGGAGAGCTCGATGAAATTTTACACACATATAAACCTGTGTAATCATCACATAGCTCAAGCCATAAAATATTTTTATTTTATTTATTATTTATTCTTTATATTTATTTTTAAAATATTTTATTTATTAATGGGAGACACAGTGGGAGCTCTGGACAGGGCAGCTGCAGTCTGGCATGGAGGGGTCAAGGCCCTGGGCCAACCTCTGCCTTGTCTGGGTAGAGAGAGACAACAGGCTGGCCAATGAGTCTCCTTAGCTGGGCCAGCTTCAATCTGAGAACCTTCCTGAAGAGGTCCCTTCATCACCTGGCCATCCTCAGCAGTGTCCATCCCACTTCCCCATGCTGCCAGCTCCCCACACCCCCAGGGGTGCAGAGCAGGGGCAGGAGTGGAGAATGTCCCCCTCCCCAACCCGGGCCCCATTGACTCTTACAGAGCAAGGCTGATGTAAATGCTGATTGTCTCCGAGGAAAGCGGGTTGTACCTGCTGAGAGTGCTGATGCCCAGGGAGAGGAGGATGAATACACATCAGCAAGGGCAAGTTAGGCCCCGCCCCTCTCTTGCCGTGGCCCTTTGAGCCCTGCCCCTGGACTACCTGAGGTCCCACTGGAGGCATTTGCTTGAGTCCAAAGCACTCCTAGGCCAGCCAGATGTTGCTGAATACACGCTTGCTGAGTGCCCAGGGGCTCATTCGGTGCAAGATGAAGTCAGAAGGCTGAACCATGGGGCAGGGGGGTGCCATAGGGATGGCCTGGGGTGGCCATTGTGCTGTGGCCAAGTGCACGCCCCTGGTATTGCCTCTGCCCAACTGCCCAGGTCCCACAGCGAGTGGGAGAATGCCAGCTGCACTATCTCCAATGTTGCCATGACCCGAGGCAAGGGGATTATTTGGGATCACAGGCCTGTTGCACACAGAAGAGAAGTACAAATCCAGGGATCCAGACACTGCATCTCTCACACACACCTAAGGATACAGCTAGCCAAGTGAAGACCCTGGGGGTTGGGGACACACAGTCACACACAGAGATACACATGGGATGCTACAAACACAGTGACAACCCCCACTAAGGTGGGTGCGCAGTCATAGAGAGGCATAGAGACATACCATTGTCATAGACATGGCCCCGTAGTCACAGAATCTACTGATACTGAGGCACAATCAAAGACAGTGTCCTGTACGGTCACTGACATGCCAGTGGTGGGGGACAAGCATATCCATATAAGTTAGAGACACACAGGGTGTTAGAGACACATACCAACAGTTGCAAACAATCACACATCAGAGACCATCCCAGGCTTGACATAGGCAGACCCGTAATGCCATTGCTGGGACACAGAGTCACACACAGAGATACACAGGGTGTCATGAGCACAGTCATGCATATACAGTCAGAAACTAATACAGTCGCACACAGAGAGACAGGGGTGAGGTGTCACACTTGCACGTGTGTCTTGACAGTGGACACCACTGATGGTTCATCCACAAGTTGGGAACACACAGGGCATCACAGTCAAAGACTTTCCAGTGTTCAAGTGCAATCGCATACACATTATGGCATGGGAATGGTCACAGAAATGTTGACACACCTACTGCTAGCCCCTCAGAGTTGTGGGACAAAGTCCACACCCTCCCACATGCACAGAATCACAGACACCCAGAAGACTGTACAATTACAGGTGCACATGCAGCCACTGACACGTAGACACACAAGGACCCACATACAACCATGCCCAGACAGGCTTGCTTCCCACTGCCACACATATACCTACACACCTTTGCTCAGTTCTGAAATGCTATAAAAATTCACGAAAACCTCCACACCCTTAACACCCCAGCAGTACAGTACACACATACGTGCACACCTGGGGCCACAGGACAAAATCACAAAAACACTCAGAACCCCACTGGACCCTAGGGCCTCAGTGAGGTTGGCCCAAGGTGTCAAACCAGACTCTATGCCCTCCCAGTGAGGTAGGTGAAGGGAGGTGTTAGGGTGAATTCCCCATAACAATGGCACTTACATGGCTGTTCGGCATAGATTAGCTCAAACTTCAAAAAAATCCCCCGAGGTTATTATAATTGGCCCAGGGTGAGAAAACCCTGGGCACAGATGAGTTAGGCACTAGCCCAGAATCACGGAGCCAGATTAGCAGAACTTGTCTCCTTCCCTGCTGTCAGCGCTGTATCCTCACAGCACTTAAAACTGCGCCTAGCAGGGACGCCTGGGTGGCTCAGCGCTTGAGCGTTTGCCTTAGGCCCAGGGCGTGATCCCGGGAGTCCCGCATCGGGCTCCCGGCGTGGAGCCTGCTTCTCCCTCTCCCTGTGCCTCTCATTAATAAATTAAATCTTAAGAAATATAAAATAAAATATAAATAAAAATAAACCCTGCGCCTAGCACACGGTTAGCGCTCAGTAAAGGTTAGTTGAACAAATGAAGGAATCTCATCACTTCTACCTTTAATATTTCATTCCCACGTTTCAGGTGGGAAAACCGGAGCCTCCAGGTGGATTCACAGGGCCCCCAAGTCCAGCCTCCCAGCGGGAACGGTCCACTCACTCTCTCCACCACCCGGCTCTCTGGCGGTAATGGGGGTGGGACCTGGCCCGGCATGAGGCGGGACCAAGGTCTTTCTGCCTTCCTATTGGTGCTCCTCCATTTTGGGCGGGATCTCTCTAAACCCGCGTTCTTGATTTGCTGCTCCCTGGTGGCCCGTGACCTGGAAGCAATCTGGGTAAGATGGCGGTGCTCAGAGTCAAGACAGAGCCGGGCCGGAGTCCGCGGCTTGCCGCGTGAGTATGTAGGTCGCGCGTGGGGAAGGTGAGCTCGAGCTGCTGGGTCCAGGGGGGACCGGTTCTGGGCCGGCAGGGCGGGAGGGCGGCCCAGGGCGACGCAGCTGCAGGACCAGGGCACCATGACCTTTTGAGGTGCGGGGCTGGGACGTGCTGGGAAAGGACGTTTTCAGTGTACTCACGTCCCCACATCCCTAATCTCCTATTTGCAGATGAGACAGCTGAGGCCCAGAGAGGTTAAGGCCCTCTCCCGAAGTCACGCCGCTAGTTGGCAGCTAGGCTGGAATTCGAACCCACGTCAGTCCGTTTCTCCTAAGGAACCCAGAATCCTGACAGCCAGCCCAGAGCTGCTGTAAGTACTCCCTGCCATGGGGTTCAGACTTATAGATCATAGACGTTTTGTAGAAATTTAGCTCTTCTCCTTCAACTGATACCTGTTAGGCACCTACCATATACCAGGCACTGTCCAGGTGTGGAAACACAGCAATGAAGAAGACAGATAAAGTCTACGATCTCCTGGGGGAGCCAGGCGTTAAAGTCAGAAGTGGAGGGAACAGGTGATTTCAGATGTTAATAATTGCTAGTAATTCATTCATCAGGGCGATAGGAGCTTTAAATTGGGAGTGGAGTTGTGGTCAGGGGAAGCCTCTCATTTGAATATAGACCTGAGTGACCAGAGACAGGTGTGGACTGATCTGGGGGGAGAAATTTCTAAACAGAGGGAAAAGCAAATGCAAAGGCTCTGAAACTAGAATAAATTTAGCTTGTTTGAGAAAAAATGTAGCTAGAGCTGCCAGTAATGAGTTGAGTTTGGAGAAGGGGCACCTGGGTGGCTCAGTCGGTTAAGTATCTGCCTTCCGCTCAGGTCATGATCCTGAGGACCTGGGCTGGAGCTCCTGATTGGGCTCCCTGCTCCGTTGGGGGTTGGCTTCTCCCTTAGCTCCTCTCCCTGCTCATGTACTCTCTCTCAAATAAATAAATAAAATCTTAAAAAAAAAAAAAAAAAAGAAGAAGAAGAAGAGTTGAGTTTGGAGACCCTGACTGAGAGGTAGACCCTGACTGAATATTTTAAGTGTGACACTAGCAATTTCTAGTCAGAGGACACTGAATTTAGTTTACATTCTAAAAAGCTCCCTCTGGCCATGGCAGGGAGAATTGACTGGTGGGAAGGCTGGGTAGGTATTAAGGAAAGATCATGGATTGAGGTGGTGGCTTGCAGATGGAGAGAAATGGATGGATTTGAAGTACTCATCAGGACTACTTGGTGAATTGAATGAGGGACACACTGGACTCAGAAATGACTCCTAGGTCTGTGGCCTGAATGACTAGGAATGGTGGTGTCATTGGGTAGGAGGGGAAGAACAATTTTAAGCAGAGATATCATTCTGAAGCAAATTAAGTTTGAGATGGCCAGGTAAATGCTTAACTGACTGAGCCACCCAGGTGCCCCTGGAATGCTTTAAAATGCTGATGCCTGGGCCCTACATTTAGGTACTTTGATTTATTATATACAGGATATATGGCCTGAGCATAGGGATTTTTAAAAGCTCCCCAGATGATTCTAATATGAACAAAGTTTGAGAACCATTAGTGCTGCCTAAAATGATATAGAGAAGAGAGGAACAAATTGAAAGACACCTCAGACAAATCCAGAATGTGGGACTCTTTGCAATTTTACTGCTCAAAGTGTGATTCCCAGACCAGCAGCAGCAGCATCATTTGGAAGCCTGTTGGATGTGTAAGGTCTTTAGCTCTACCCCAGACTTGCTGAACCAAAATCTTCATTTTAACAAGATCCTGGGTGATTTATCTGCATGTTCAAATTTGCAGACATTGCAAACTTTTTTTTTTTAAGATTTTATTTATTTATTTATGAGAGACCCAGAGAGAGGCAAAGACAGGCAGAGGGAGAAGCAGGTGATGTGGGACTCAATCCCAGGACCCTGGGATCATGAGCTGAAGGCAGAAGTTCAACTGCTGAGTCACCCAGGTGTCCCAGACATTGCAAACTTTATTTTTTTTAAAGATTTATTTATTTATTTATTCATGAAATATATATAGAGAGAAGCAGAGACACAGGCAGAGGGAGAAGCAGGCTCCATGCAGGGAGCCCGACGTGGGACTCGATCCCAGGACTCCAGGATCACACCCTGGGCTGAAGGCAGGCGCTAAACCGCTGAGCCACCCAGGGATCCCCCATTACAAACTTTATTTTTTTTTATTATTATTTATTTATGATAGTCAGAGAGAGAGAGAGAGGCAGAGACACAGGCAGAGGGAGAAGCAGGCTCCATGCAGGGAGCCCGATGTGGGACTCGATCCCGGGTCTCCAGGATCGCGCCCTGGGCCAAAGGCAGGCGCCAAACCGCTGCGCCACCCAGGGATCCCTCATGCTCTCTCTCTAAATTAAAAATAAATAAATCTTAAAAACACAAAAAAGATCCAGTAGGGAGGGGGATCATGGCAGGGGCAAATTCCTCAAGATACTGGAGTGTTTAGCCCCATAAAGTAGGGATGCTTGATTGTAACAGCGGTTTAAGTCCATCTTGGGGATGAGACCAATGGGGCTGGTGAGTTAGAACATGGTCTCTGCCCATGAGGGGTCTCATTTCTGTTAGCAGGTCGGGTTCCAGGCTGATGCTGTCTTTCCTCTCTTGGCCAGGTGGCTGTCTGACGAGCAGCGGCATGAGCTGGGCCCAAGCCATCCTGCTGGCCCGGGGCCTCTCTTGGGGCTGGGGAGGCATCTGTGGGGCCGCCCTCACCAGAGCCCCCTTCTCTCAGGTAACCACTGGCTGAACAGTTGTCTGGTCCCATCAGCTGGCCTGTGTGCTCTGAGGGTCAGATGAACTGCCTTACTCATTTTAAGAAGTGCTGCTGCCCATGTGGGTAAGGGGGTTGAATTTGGAAATGATATATGAGCTAAATAGATTCAGGTGGTTAATGTGGGTAATTCCTATATCCATTTGTAAAGATGTGAGCAGAACACTGAATTTCCATCCCTTCCCAGAGTGACCAGATGGCCCAAGCCCATCAACAGGCATAGACAGCAGCAACAGTGAGGATGGCAGTAATGATAATAATCAGGCATACCTTGCTGTATTGTGGTTCATGGATAATGCGTTTTTTTGTTTTTGTTTTTTTTAAGATTTTATTTATTTATTCATGATAGTCATACAGAGAGAGACAGAGAGGCAGAGACACAGGCAGAGGGAGAAGCAGGCTCCATGCAGGGAGCCTGACGTGGGATTCGACCCTGGGTCTCCAGGATCGCGCCCCTGGCCAAAGGCAGGCGCCAAACCGCTGCGCCACCCAGGGATCCCGTATAATGCGTTTTTTTGGGGGGTTTTGGGCTTTTACAAATTGAGGGTTTGTGGCAACCCATCGAGCAAGTCTGTTGGGGCCATTTTCTGACATTTGCTCATTTCACATCTCTGTGTCACATTTTGGTAATTCTTGCAGTATTTCAAACCTCCTCATTATTATCATGTGTGTTATGGCGATCTGCAAGCAGCGATTATGACCTGCTGAGAGCTCAGATGCTGGTTAGCATTTTTAGCCTATTTTTTAGTTAAGGTACATACGTTTTTGTAGAGATAATGTTATTGCACACTTTTATAGACTACAGTATAGTGTAAACCTAACTTTTCTGATGCATTGGAAAGCCAAAAAACTCATATGAGCCCTTTATTTGCTTCATTGTGGGGGTCTGGAACTGAACCCTCCATATTTCCAAGATGTGCCTGTGCCAGGCCCTGCTCTCTGGTGTTTATTTACATTATCTTGTTGTGGTTGTGATGTCTCCCTTTCCTTTCTGATTTTTGACCTGTGCATCTACCACCTGTAGAGTTAGTTGTGTACAATTTCATTTTAAATGGACACTTTTGGTAGGATACTATCCACACAGGGGTTAGCAAACATTTTCATAAAGAGTCAGATAGTAAATACTTTTGGTTTTACAAGCTACACAGTCTCTGTTAAAACTACTTGACTCTGCCAGTGTAGAGCAAAAACAACCGCAGACCGGACATGATGAATGTGCCTGGCTGTATTCTAAATACAACTTTATTGACAAAAGCAGGCAGCTGGCCATATTTGCCCCACAGGCTGTGGCTTGCCCCCAGCAGCCTCCGCTCCCCTCTCTGGGGAACAAGGTCTGCTTGACCCAAGGGAAACACCATCATAACAGATGGGGAAATTGAGGCCTGAGCAGTGAAATGAGATGTGGCGCCACCTAGCGGAGGACAGTCAAGCCAACATTCCCGCTGACTCCAAAGTCTGCATTTTTTTTTTTAAGATTTTATTTATTTATTCATGAGAGACACATAGAGAGAGAGAGTGGCAGAGACACAGGCAGAGGGAAAAGCAGGCTCCATGTGCAGTAATGATAATAATCAGGCATACCTTGTTAGCAAGTTGGTAAATTTGCAATAGTGAATCCACAAATAATGAAGACCTATTGTATATATAAGGTGGTGAGGTTTTCTTACACCTCTGGGAACTTATCTACACATCGTGTCACACGTCGCTTTTTTTTGTTTCATGATATACCTTGGACTTGGTACTGGGTCACACACAAGACCCTCCTCAGGGGCTCTCATAGATGCTGGGGCTCCTTGTCCAGGTTCATGGCCATTTGCTGAACCATTTCCTTGCTGATGCACATTGGGACCGTTTCCACTGCTACAGTGGACATACAGAAGTCATTTGGCACAGGTTTGTTTAGACCTGTCAGATTTACAAACCAGACACAGGGTCACTGCCTCAGAGGGTGTGTGTTTGTCCTG